TAATAATTTAAATTAGATATTTACGACGTATAGATAATAATAATAATAATAATAATAATAACAAATAATAATAATATAATAATGGGGTACTTCTATAGCACATTTCAAATATCTCAATGCTCTTTACATTCATAACCAGAGGAGGGTCCACTTTACGGTCTGCATATTAAGGCGCAGCCATGCAGCTTACAATCATGAGTGTGAATTATTAGTACATTGATATTATGCCTCCAAATTGGGATAGGCTGTTAAACTGGGAGACAATCCCCTATACTCTTACACGAACAATTCAACAGGTTCTTTTATGTCCCCCATTTACTGTAGTGATATATCATATTACTTGGCAATCCAGTGATTAGTCTATAAGTGCGATAGGTCCGCATACCTAAAAATCAATTATTATACTTAATAAAATTCTGAAAGGTTCTGATGTGGGATAATCCCACAGTGGTAGGTAATGGTTTTTAAAGGTACATTTTTAAATGGAGAAGTACATTTTTAAATTGAGCACTGTTTTAAGTAAGACATGAAATACACTTTCAAGCATGAGCTACAAATTATCCTATAAAACAAACTCAATATATCTTAGTACATAGTTTTTCTTGAATGCTTGCCTGCTTGCCTGCCACTTTCAAGCATGAGCTACAAATTATCCTATAAAACAAACTCAATATATCTTAGTACATAGTTTTTCTTGAAATTAATATTACAAGCTTGACATGATACTCTCACTTTGTTGTACCCTAATTTAGAATAATGCTGGGCATAATAAGTGCTATTGTTTGTGGTTATGTATTGCAGAAGACCATCACAGGTACCCCACAACTATACAATATCTTATTATTAGCCTTTTCTAATTTATTGATAGACTAAGATCAATTCTTTAAAAAAATCAGCATATTATCTAGTAACTAACATTACCTTCCTTCTAGACCTCTCTCCGTCAAGATGTTCCCTCAGGAGAGTATTCTCCAACATCAAGCTTTTGTTAGCACCTGATGTTGGGTGTTGGGGATGTGCAACTTGTTTTCGAACATCAGATGCATGTCGTATGCTGCTGTGAGATGTCTGTGAAGTGTCATCTTTTGCATGTGCTCCTCTTGATTGATCACCAAATTCTAAGTGAACCTGAAAAATAATTATGATGATTTTGATAGTCCATAATGGTAGCTAGCTTTCTTTTGCTTGAAAAATAATGATTGTTACTGGATGGCAAAAAAAAATGGACTTCCTTTATTTAATGATTTTTTGCTGGATTACTAAATAAATGAGGTATCCAAAACCTTTTCAAGCATACTTTTTCCCCTTAAAAGATACTTTCAATTTCAAGATATGAAGCAGTTTAAAGTTTGTTTGCCATTCAGCAGAGCCTGCCCCAGGGGACCTTGAGCTGAATTGATTTGTTATCAAAGTCATAAATCAGCATGTTACTGTTTGTTGGAAAAGGCCTATTAGCAACAGATCTAGAGGCAGCCATTATCCGGTTACTCACTTTTAGTTCTTCAAGAGGTGATGAATTTGGCAACATCTTCTGAAAGAAAGCAGCAGTATCAACACTTGACATGGAATGATTTTCAGCACCATCTCTTGGCACATCTTTCTGATCAGCTGATCCTGTATGAACATTTGGTTCATAATCTCTGTCAATAATCAAATCTTTTGAGGTTTTTAGCATATTCTGTAAATGATTGCCAACATTTTCCATTTCATGGATATCCATACTTGTTACATTGCTGATGTCGCCAAAAGCTCTTGAATCTAAAAAATTCTAGGGGGAAAACACACAGAAAATAATGAAAAATCATTGCATGATAGTGCTTTTCATGATTTTGTAACCTCCACACAGCTATACTTTTAAGACCATTGTAAATTTGATGAATGGTGCGTCTGGAGATAGTCTGGGTTGCATGGTTATCAAAAGTGTTCTTACTATTCATATTTCTAGATTATTAAAATGAATACCTGTTGGTTTCTTGGTGTAGATAACTGCGACATTCTGCCTGGTGGTTGTGGAGGTGATACATCAGGTGTTACGGGGTTAAACTTATATGATTGTGATTTGATTTCTTCTGGTATGGGCATATTGTTCTCAGAGTTGTAGGGTATTCCTAATGTCGAATGAAGGCTAGTATCCATTAATATCCATCTACAGCAACATCACCTGACCATCATGCAGCCTGAAGATAGAGGTGTAGTGTTAAACTCCCTATATGTACACCAAACCAAACGAGTTTATTTATTTGCTTTATGTTTTAATTATTTTCTTGTAAATAAGAAACCAACGATATCTTTTCACAAGGTGGATAAGCAGCCAAGTTTTATGAATGTGCAAACACGAAGAAGATACAGTTATTCATATTCTAAAACAATAGTTCAAGATTATACTGTGGTTAGCATAGCAACAGGTGGTTCGATGATTCTCCGTCACCAGCTAGCAGTAATAATAACCAGAATTATTACACTGAAGAAAGTATCGCAGATTAATAAGACATGAAATAATAGATGATGATTAAAACGTGGTATATATTTTAGCACACACGTTTAACCTGAGTCCCAACTGAAGTCGTTCGAACAGATTCTGTTCTGTAGGATGGATTTCTGGATCGCATAAAACATGAGATTCATACTGTAAGGATTCTACTAATTTAGTGCTATACATAATCTACAGCTCCAAAATAGTTTGTAACAAATATAAGGACCTCAAAAAACAAACCAAAAGAACTAAATAAGATCCTACTAAGTTTTCTTATGTCCAGTTCTGTTAGTTCTGTCATAACTCGCAAACAAACTCAAGTATAGCTAATTTCTATACAAAACTAAACTCAAAGCACAGCAAGACTTTTCGTGTAGGAAGTAGCAAGGTACTAACCTTGTGATCAAGTTGACTTGGTCCGTTCTTTATGTCGAAAAGAGAAGAAGAAAGTGTTGAACGTGTTCAACAAGCTACTAAGACAAGCCGCTGACACGATAATACACAGCATTCGTAGGGGAGGGGGAGGGGAAGTTTGATTTAACGATGGTCGATTTTTGCTCCAAAAAATCATTATAGTCTTCACTTAAACGTTTATTGCATCAAAATCATTTTGACGAAGACTTTTACTCCTTATTGACCAATTTTTGTTGAACTTTCTTGTTATTTGTTTACCTACAAAATAAAACAGTATCGTATCTTACCCCTCCCCCACTCAGTGCTTTGCGGCATGCTGCATTTGGATTTATGGCGGGAGACTAGAAGCTTGACAACCTGTTGATTGTTTTTCTCTCTTAAACTGCAATCTCTTGAGGTAGAACATGGCTTATAATCTTGAAGAAGACAAGAATTATAAGTATGAAACACAATTGTTTGGTTTTACGCCCAAATCCTTCGTGGATGGTAAGATATTGAATTAAACGAAGCAGCTATGTTGTGCCTTCAAATCGATAATCTTAAACTAAATGGTTTGAAACTAACTTTTTTCTGTTTTTCACAGTTTACAATGCTATAAATGACTACGTCAGTGATTGTTTTAAAGAACTCGAAAAGTTGTTAAGCAATGAGGTATGTTTTTGTCATGTAAAATAAATAGTTGCATTATACAATTTTCATCTTCTGGACAAATGAATTAAGCTTTTGTTTTCAATCTTTACCCGTTTATGCAGCCAACATTCACGAAAGATTGTACAGCTGAGCAAATACACCAGGTACAGTAATCATGACAAGATATTAAGATGGTTTAGCAGTTACAAATTATCATGAAGGGGTTGGGAATTGAAGGTAATGCACTTCAGCTGTCACACCCTGCAACACTCTTAGACTTCTATGTACTCTTGACTAATAAAAGACAGTCCTCCTCCTCTGAGAGGCTAAGAAAGTCAGGACTTTACATACCCGTCCCCTAATAAATACATCCATTCAGCAATGACTTATGATTTGATTTATGGATTTATTCCCTGTGAAGCACACCACAACAGCACACACTGGCAATTACTGTAGGCACTGTATACTACTGGCTGAGAACATGTGAAAATCCTGTGAAAATCCTGTGAAAACACAGGTAACATCAAAGTGACCTGTGAAAAAACCTGCRAATTTTACACGGCCGATTTCATGTCGATTCTTGGAAAAATCTTAAGTTTTGAAACCTGTGAAAAACCTGTGAACATTTTAAACCTGTGTGGGAAAAACCTGTGAATTTTATTTTCTGTGGAGAAACCTGTGAAAAACATGTAAATTTGGGCATGATAAAAACTCATTGAAACAGAAACCTGTGAAAAACCTGTGAATTTGGGCATGATAAAAACTCATTGAAACAGAAACCTGTGAA